CGTACAGTCCCTCAGTTCCTCATGGAGCTGTCTCAGTGACTGATGGGTCCTCTCATTCAGCTCCACTCTCCTGGCCTTTCTTCAACCTTTCCCCCAGCAGTCCCTGAGCTCCTGGGCCCCTCCTTTTTTTTTTAAGATTTGTTTTATTTATTTTATACAAGAACCGGGGTACAGGCCAGATGCGCGGAGGGCGAGATGATTCACCAGAGACAGAGTGGGGAGCAGAACTGGCAGACTGATGAAATACATTGCTGAAGGGAACGGCGGGAGTGACAGGAGAGGCCTACCGCACCATGTGGACTATCGCTGGCTGGCCGGGATCGAACCGGCGCTGCAGAGGCTGCGGACAGCTTCACAGCACGGCGCTTAACCGCCTGCACCACCAGGGGAGGCCCGGGCCCCTCCTTTACTTCAGGCTTTCTCCTTCTCCCTGGCTCCAGCCATCTTGCCTCCCTGCTTCCCTGACTTCCCTCTTCGATCTCAAAGGTTATTGGCACTGAATTTCTCACTCACCCCTCTCAACTCATCTTGGCTTCTCTCTGCTATACAGAAGATTGTTTCCCTGGATATTGGCTCTGTGAAGAAGGACCACGGTTACCTGGACGAGGACTCTTTGGGGGCCCTGTGCAGGTAGGGGGACTTTGGGTCAGGCCTGGGAGGCCAAGAGCCTGGCTTGGAACTTGCTTCTGGAAAAAACAAACACTTGACCCCTCTAACAGGAGAAGGCCAACCTATTCACCAGATGCATCTGCTGGGATCAACAGGTTCACTCTGATTTCTTTTTATTTTTTAAGATTTATTTATTCATGTATACAAGATGTGGTGTACAGGCCAGAGATGCAGGGGGGTGGTGAGAGGATTCACCAGAGAGAGGCGGGGGGGGGAAGAATAGGCAGATTGACTGAAATACACTGCTGAGGGGAGCAGCGGGTGAGGCAGGAGAGGTCTGCCATGTCACGTGGGACCCTCGCTGGCCAGCCAGGATCGAACCTGCGCTGCAGAGGCTGTGGACAGCTTCACAGCATGATGCTCAACCGTCTGCACCACCAGGGAGGCCCCACTCTGATTTCTGTGTCACTCAGGCACCCTAGCTGAAAGCCAGGATGTGGCTTGTATGCCTTCTCCCTTCAGTTAGGTCCCCTAAACATACCTCTGACGTGTTCCCTCTTTACTCATATGATTTGGCCCTTGTTTGAGGTCAAACCATGGCTTCTCTTAAAACGACTACAGTTGCCTCCTCACTGGCCATCCTCTTTTCAGGCTTTGCATTCCGTCCCAGCCACTCCAGCCTCTCCACAGCAACCAGGGTCAGCCTCCAAGCGGTGCCCCTCTGCTTAAACCATGTCTCTGCACGCGGGTGAAAGTCCAAAGCTTTTTTAATATGCAGGATGCCCAAGGCTTTTTGCAATCTGTCTTTGACTTAACCTTATCAGCCTCAGCCACTGTCTCACATCCATACTGGTTTGTTTACTGACCCTGCCTTGTCAGAGCTCCTGTCCCCTTTTCCCTCTCCCTCCAAATCTCATTTTTCTCCTCTGGGAAGGCTTCTCCATGTGCACCCGCCTCCGTTCATGGAAATTTATTTTTCCACCTGCTCTGTGCCTGCTGCACCTCCTGTTTGCTCTGCTCTGCTCTTGAACCTGTCCCACCTTGGTAGTAGTTTGTCTCCATCTATAAGCTCCTGGAGGGCAGGAGCTTCCAGTGACGTGCCTGGTGCTGAATCTCACAAACATTGGGGTTGGGAAAGGTTTGGTGGCTCGGGCATGTGATGGCCTTTGGAAGTGTTTTGATAGGCTATGCCTGTTATGGGGGGCTGGAGCCCTTGGGTCAATGCTGCTTCATTTCCTTGCAGGAGGCTGATGACCTTGAACAATTGTGCCTCGATGAAACTGGAGGTTCATTTTCAATGCAAGCAGGCGAGTCATGGCGAGGGTGCTGTCTGTGGTCTTGGACCCCGGGGGAACACGGGACATGCAAACCTCTCTTGGGAAATTAGCTCCATCATCCTGGGAGTCTGGGGTATCCAGAAAAAGTGCCCTTCTCCAGCCTGGGAGTGGGGTGCGGGGAGCTCTATGAGGCCTTTGTCTTGGCGAGGTTGGAGTATAACAGCATGTGTCCTGACTTTTGGGCTCACCTACCCACCCCTGCCCTCAACCCACTTCTCCCATCTGCATTTACTAGAGAAATCCATCTGCTTCAATTACCTCCTTTGATGGCAGAATGTCTTTGACCTTGGTTGTGTGTGTGTGGTGGGGTAAGGTGGAGGGGGTGCTCAGAGGCAGAAAAGAACATGTGGTAGAAAGAACATGGCCTGTACGGTCTGAGAAGTCAGGATCCCCAACCCCACAAGAGCTCATCCCTTTGACCTTCATTTTATACAGTAAATTAGGGGTGTTATCAATAGCTTCCCAAGGGTCTTTCTTATTCTGCCAATCTGGGGACTGCAGAAACTGAGAGGACTCTGAGTCTGCACAAAGCCCTTGTGTGTGGGGTCAGGCTTTGCAGGTCTCCCCGGGATTTCTCCACCAGAGGCCTGCCATCAGTGGGTCAGCCAAGTGGTTAGAGCCCTGAACCAGGAAGCAGGAAACCCCTGGTCCCAGCTCTACCACTGACTACTGAGTGACTTCGGGCTAGCCTCTTCTCTCCCTGGGCCTCAGTTTCTCCACCTTGAAGATGAGGAGAAAAAAAATTGAAAATGTAACATTTCCTTTCAGTTCTGGCATTCTATGATTCTAATCTAAGACTGTAGAGACTGGGAGGCTGCTGAGGTCAGGAGGTCCAGGAGCCTGGATTCTAACTCTGGTCTGTTATTGACTTACTGCATGATGGTCTAGGGCCCTGGGCCAGCAGCTTCCCATTTGTAGGTCTAGGGTTCCTCTCTGTAAAATAGTAGGAGGGGGAATGAGATTAATCAGATCATCACTACCAACCCTCTAGGCTCCATCTATGACTCCTGGCTTCCTCCAGCTCTGCCAGAGCCAATGCTCCCCTCTAAAACATATCCCCAAGCAGAAGGCAGGGCCCTGCACCTCTATGTCCCCCCAAGAGTTTGGAGACAGAGAGTGGAACACAAAAACAAGGGCTTGTGGGCTGGGTTTCTCTGACCTGCTCCTGTGGCACCCTTCCCAGAATGAAGACTCAGAGGAGGAAGAGCAGTGCACCATCAGCAATCACTGGGCTTCCAGCAACAAAACAAGTGCTGGTCTCACGTGGGTTCCTCTGATCTGCTGGCCCCACTGAGCCCTAGCCTTCCAGTGACCTCCAGCTGTGAGAGTGTCCTCACTGAGCTTAGTGTTACCTCCCTGCCAGCCATTGCCGTGAGCTTACCAGCCCCTAAGCCAGCAGACCTGCCTTTCTTAGGCTGTACCCCTGGCCCAAGTGAACGGCCCCTCCTCAGCCCCACCCGGGGCCAAAAGGGTCTCCAGTCCAAGGCCAAGAAGCACCGTTCACGTAGCTTCCTCAAGCACCTTGAGTCTTTGAGGAGGAAGGAGAAGGGTGGCGGTCGACCTGCAGAGCCCGAGCGTAAGGCAGCCACCTTGGAGAAGACCACCAAAGCCTCTACTTCCTGTAGTCGCCGTGGCTTCCTCTCAGCTGGATTCTACAGGGCCAAGAACAGACAGTTACTTCAGCCAGTGGTGGTGGTACTGAGGCTCAGAGGGCCTGGGAGGCCTGGCCTGCCACATTCTGGCACCCTCAGCTGACACACAGGGGTGACTACTTGGTGCACGTGCCCAGGGACCACAAACCAGGCACATTCCCTCGCTCCCTCTCCATTGAGAGCCTGTGTCCTGACCATGAACACCGCCTGGCAGATTGGCAGCCAGGTAGGCGCTGGGGCTACGAGGGACGCCGTGGCTCCTGTGGTTCCACAGGCAGCCACGCCAGCACCTATGACAACTTGCCTGAGCTGTACCCAGTGGAGCCTGTACTGGCCGGGGCTGAGGCTGAAGATGAAGAGGAGGGGTGAAGGCAGCTATGCCCACCTGGACGACATCCTTCAGCATGTATGGGGCCTGCAACAACGGGTAGAGCTTTGTCTCAGGCCATGTACCCAGATCTGGGCCAGGAGAGAAGGAAGAGGAAGAAGATGAGGAAGAAGAGGAAGAAGCTACTTTATCAGTAGAAATAGCAACAGCTGAGGATGAAGACCAGGCCGAACCTCTGGGCCAGGTAGAGGCTGTGGCGCAAAGACAGTCCCTGTCCTGGGCCAGGCTGATGTGCAACCGGTAGTCCCATCTCAGACTCCAGCTGAGGCTGCATTCCCAGCACAGGCAGAGGCTGAATCCCCCAGTCCAGCCCAGGATGATGAGCAGGAGGTGAATTCAGGAGGAGAACCCACTTCTGTGGAAGAAGGACACTCCATTTCTTACACTGGGGCCTCCTCGGGTGAACTGGATAACAGTGGGAGCTTCATGAACGAGGGTGAGGCCGCAGGGCCCCCAGCTGGACTCCAGGCAGCAGCCCCGGGAACGGCGAGATTCAGGCGTTGGGCCTCGCTTACCAGACCTTGCAGGTGGGACTTCAGGGTAGAGGTGGAGACAGGTTCCTCTGTTGTCTCTCTATCCCCCTCCACTCCTTTTCCCTCCCTTCTCCCATCCTGCCTCCCTTTTAAGTCAGTTTATTAATGGAGAGGACAGGGGTAGGTTCTTGGGAATGGGTTGATTGCCTCCAGGCAGCCAGTCCCAGGAGGGAAATGGGAAGCCTGCAGGACTCCAAAATACAGAATGTTGCTTTAGGCCCTGCCTCTGGTATCACCTGGAGTAAATTGTAGCTCTTCTTTGGGCCCCAGTTTCCCCATGGGAAACCGAGGGTGTTAGAGGAGATGGTCTCTGATCCCCACTTTTCCATTCTGGGGTTTCTGGAGCAGCCCTGGCACAGAAGTTTCAGTTGGGGGTTGTTGGCACTAAATGGGCCATCCTCCCTGACAGCATCTTGGGCAGCCCTGGCATCTAAGATGATGCCCTCCTCAGCCCCCTCAGGGCCCAGCAGCAGTGTCAACAGTAGGTAGTTTCCCCATTCCCCTGATTTATTTTGTCTTTTGGGAGAATAAAGGACTAGAAGAACATAACCTTTTCAAAGCTTTACCCAAAACTGCTCCTCTGGCTTCCTCCCCTTCTCAGCAGGAAACTCCGCTGGCACAGCTTCCAGAACTCCCACCGGCCCAGCCTCAACTCTGAGTCTCTGGAGATCAACCGACAATTTGCGGGCCAGATCCACCTTCTGCACAAGGGCTCGCTGCTGCGGCTCACCGCCTTCATGGAGAAGTACACGGTGCCCCACAAACAGGGCTGGGTCTGGTGAGTGCTGCTGAGCCATGGTGGCTGGGGAGCTCCTGCCCATATCCTGTCTTCTTGCCTGACCTCATGCCAGGACTTCGGGAGGGTGAGCCTCAGAGGGTGGCTGCCAGCAGGCAGAGTCTCCCTGCCAGCTCAGTGACCTGACATATCAGGCCAGAGGGGCTGTGGCTCCAGAGATCAGTGTGGCTCTGGGTATCTGGGGCAGGGCAGTGCATATGGGATCCATGTAAGTATGGGTGCCATGTTTGACAAGGGAGGTGAACCTAGGGCCTTGAGCTGTTCCTCTCCATTCCAACCTCCATGCCCCCACCAGGACATTGGCTTAAAATGGAGTTTTGGGGTCACTTTCCAGACCAGCTCCCTTCTGTGACTCCCCATTGCTAGAGAATTCCTCCCCATCATAATCCTTTCACTGCATCATCTGTCAGGCTCTTTAGTTAGCCACTCATAAGCAATGCCAAGGGGAGTAAAAATATGGACCATTAGAATGAGGTGGGTATCAAACACTTCAAGAGGTCACAAATATAGACCAACATATATGAATCTCAGTATAATCTGCAAACAAAAATCAATAGAAGTAACACGTGTTCTTTTTTTCTGAGCCCCCTGATACTGCAAACAGTCTCCAAGCCATGTCAGGACCTGTTCCACTCCTTCCTCACCTCTTGTCCCTCCCCCAAACAGGTCAGTGCCCAAGTTCATGAAGAGGAATAAGACCCCAGACTACAGAGACCAGCATGTGTTTGGGGTGCCACCCCTCATCCATGTGCAGCGCACAGGCCAGCCACTACCACAAAGCATCCAGCAAGCTATGCGCTACTTGCGTAGCCAGTGCCTGGACCAGGTGAGACCCTTTGGGGAGCCACAGAGGTGGTGCTGGGTGGGCTGAGGCTGAGCAGTTGGGGAGGGCACTGCTCTGCTCCTTCCCCTGGATCTGACTGCTCCACCAGAGGCCTTTCTGGTCCTCAGAAAGTCCCAGCAAGGATGGAACCAAAGCTCCCTTTTGCCCAGCCATGCGCCAACTTCTTTCTGGCCTGGGCTCTGTTGCCTTAACTAGGCCCACCTTTTCCTACTCATCACTAGGAAGCCAGCTTTTGCCTTGGCTGAGGCCATCAAACCCCTTCTCTCTGGTGTTACCATTCTCACCTCCCCTGCCAGTGGAAGCCTGCCAGGCTTGGAGATCTCTGGGGGACAGCCTACACTCGTGACCCATGGGCGAGGGCTGGCCTCACGGTCCCCCACCCACCCTTCTACCCCTCCTTCCTTCCCTCCTCTGCATGGACCAGGTGGGCATCTTCCGGAAGTCTGGAGTGAAGTCCAGGATCCAGAACCTGCGCCAGATGAATGAGACTTCCCCCGACCATGTCTGTTATGAAGGCCAGTCGGCCTATGATGTGGCTGACCTGCTGAAGCAGTATTTCCGGGACCTGCCCGAGCCTATCTTCACCAGCAAGCTCACCACCACCTTCCTGCAGATCTACCAGCGTGAGTTTCCTGCACTTTTCCCCACAAAACTGCCCTGCTCTCAACCTCCCTGAATCCAGGGCTTGTGGGAGATAAAACCTCGTGCAGGCAAATGGAGCCTCACCTGTTAGCTCATTGGAACATTCACCATCTGGCCTCCCCAAGCCTATTCTGTGGAAGGATGGACTGAGGCCCCAAGGAAAAGTAGGGACTTACCCAAGGTCACAGTGCGCATTAGCAACACATTAGCACAGTGCACATTAGCAACACATTAGCACATTAGTGCACATTAGCACCTAGATCTGGGTGCTAGATCTAGCACCCAGAGCCCACCCCCTTCTGTCTCCCCAACTTCCCTTGGCATTGCTGTGCCTTCTGCATTACCAAAAAGCAGGAGGTGCACAACTGGGGCCTCTAGGGGAATAAGGAAGCCTTTCTCCCATTTCTTCCTCATAGTCCTGCCCAAGGATCAATGGTTGGCAGCAGCTCAAGCCGCTACCCTGCTACTCCCTGATGAGAACCGAGAGGTGCTACAGACCCTGCTCTATTTCCTAAGTGACATTGCCTCTGCTGAGGAAAACCAGATGACAGCTGGCAACCTGGCAGTGTGCCTGGCCCCCTCCATCTTCCACCTCAATGTCTCCAAGAAGGATAGCCCCTCACCAGGTGAAGCAGGGCAGGGCAGGGAAGGGAGGGTTTGGGTCCCATTGGATTTTTGGCCCTTGATGGCTGGCACTGCAATTCTCCTATATCACCACAAGAGAACGGCCTGATTTCTCAGGCACCATGGTATGTTTGTGAAGTAGGATCTTCCAAAGAGCAGCAGGACCTTTTGTCTTCACCACTGGCAAGCTGGCTTCTAGGGAGCTGGAAGCTAGTGGCTTCTCACATGTCTTGCCTCATGCCCTTGTGCCATCCTTTCCTTCCTGGGCCTTTCCTCCAGAATCAAGAGCAAACGCATCTTAGTTGGCAGGCCAGGCCCTCGGGACTTGAGTGAAAACATGGCGGCTACCCAGGGCCTATCACACATGATCAGTGACTGCAAGAAACTTTTCCAGGTGAGTTGCTCAGGCCCACAGTGCCTCCTTTCCAGATGCAGGGAACCATTTGCACCCAAGTCAGGGGTCGGGGTCAACTTGACTCAACCTCCTATTTCCAACCCTTCTCCCAAAAGATTCCTCACCACTCTTATTGCAGGAGCCAGGCCTCTCTACCCCCTTAACTACTGATGCTCCCCGTGACCATAACCCAGTGTGTGTGTGTGCCCTCCCAGGTGCCCCAGGACATGGTGCTACAGTTGTGTGGCTCCTACAGTGCCGCTGAACTCAGCCCTCCTGGCCCCGCCCTGGCTGAACTGCGGCAGGCCCAGGCAACTGGAGTGAGCCTGAACCTCTACATGGAGGAGAGCGTCCAGGAGCTGCTGCGCGATGCTGCCGAGCGCTTCAAGGGCTGGATGAGTGTGCCGGGACCCCAACACACAGAGCTGGCTTGCAGGAAGGTGAGTGCTGGTTATCTCCAGCTGCCCAACAGCTAAGAGAGGGTATGCTGCAGGCAGGGGCCCAGATCCCAAAGGGAGGTGTTGCCTGCCAGCCTCACTGTGCCTGTATGTGATTCTTAGAGAATGTCAACCAGCAGAGCAATTACCTTAAGGAACTGAGAAGCATGAGACCAAGGGGTTTCTGTCTGGATCCCTGCTGGAATTACCTTGCCAAAGCCCTGCTCCAGATTGTTACTACTCCCATCTCGCCCTGAACCAGCCATGCTGAGCCCTTGATATTTCCACCTTGGTACTTTTGCCTGTGCTGTCCTGCTGCCTGACTGACCTGTCTCCAAGCACTGCATTTCCCAGCCACTTGAAGCCCCAACTTACCATGCCACCTTCTCCATCCAGAGCTTCCTGTCATGCCGCAGGCTAGAAATGACTCTCCTGTCCTTCTCTTGCACTGGTCATGTTTTCTTGAAATCTGATCCTGACTAGATGGCAAGGCTGCGTTTACCATGTATTATAGTCATAGTAAAAAACTTCCTTACAGGGTCACAGTGGGGAGAGGCTCAGACAGTGCCTGGCACATACCAAAGCTTCGGTCAGTGGCTGTTTGTGTGGCCTGCACAGTTCTGTCACCCACAAGAGGTGGTGATCCCTTTAGGACCATCACCTCCTCCTCTTCCTGTTCATTTCCAGAAATGCCAAGCACTGTGCCTATTTTTTTGGTAGAGCCTAATAGGCCTCAGGGAACATTTGTTCTGTCACCTCCATGTACTCTTGATGGGGCAGAGAAGCAGCCGTCTGAAATGGAGCAGGTCCAGGAACTTAGGGATGGCCAGTCTCTGCAGTGAACACAGGCCTGGCCTGAGGCTGGAGTGGGACTGACCCAGACCTGACAGCTGCCTCCTGCTCCCAACCTTGTGACTGATAGGCAGCAGATGGCCACCCCTTACGTGTGTGGAAAGCGTCCACAGAAGTAGCAGAGCCCCTCCGGCTGTGGTGCTGCACCGCATTCTGCGGGAGCGGGCCCTCTGGGATGAAGACCTGCTGCGGGCCCAGGTGCTGGAAGCCTTGATGCCTGGTGTGGAGCTGTACCACTACGTCACTGACAGCATGGCGCCCCATCCCTGCCGTGACTTCGTGGTGCTCCGGTGAGGAGCCCTGGCTGTTACCCTGTTGTGCTCTGGGGTACCGGGGAGGTGAGTAGTTGGCCTCCAGAGGAATCTGAACATGTGTTTCCTTCCCTGCAGGATGTGGCGCTCTGACCTGCCTCGTGGGGGTTGCCTGCTGGTTTCCCAGTCCCTGGATCCTGAGCAACCTGTGCCAGAGTCAGGGGTCCGGGCCCTGATGCTCACTTCCCAGTACCTCATGGAGCCCTGTGGCCTGGGCCGCTCCCGGCTCACTCACATCTGCCGCGCTGACCTAAGGTACCAGACCCCATAGCTCTGGCCCCTTCCTGGCCTCTGCACCAGGCCACTGATCCCTGGAGGTTGGAGGCAAGTCCTTTCTTTCCTCTCCTGGCAAGGGCTCAGGGAAGAACCCATTGCTCACACATGCCTGCTTCTGCCTCCCCAGGGGCCGTTCTCCTGACTGGTACAACAAAGTCTTTGGGCACCTGTGTGCCATAGAAGTGGCAAAGATCCGGGACTCCTTCCCCATCCTTCAGACAGCTGGCCCTGAGACAAAGTTGTGAGCTTCAGCCTGAACCCAGGATGACACACCCTGGAGCCTGGCACCAAGGGTGTAAGGGGGTGAGAGGGGCAGAGCAGCCCCCAGAGGTGGCATCTAAGGGCAGAACTGGGTCCTTGTGGCCCCCTTACCTTTCTTTCTCACTTCCCAAAGATCCTCTGAACATACAGGGCAGGAAAAGAGAAAGTCAGTGTGCCATCTCCACTCTACCTCCACTTCCAGCCCCGGAACCTGTTCTACTCAGCCAAGAGAGAAGAGGGGTTTTCCGAGTAGGAAGGCCGCCACTGCCCTCCAGACCCACATAGCCCAGTTGGTCTGAAGCCTTGATGGCTTTCCCACCTGCTGGGAAGGAGAGGAGAGCAGACTGTACCGTCAGAGTTCTGTCAGATTGAGAGGCCAAGCCACCCTTTTTCGGTGCTAGACTCCCTGTGGAGGTTCTGATCCTGCCCATGGGGACAACCTTGGCCCTAAAACTAGCTTTTCCAGAGAACTTGGCCTGGAGAAGATAGGCACAGGCAGTCCAAGGGCAGCCGAGCCACCACAAAATGTTTTAGTTGTATAAATACGATGCTGAAATTGATGAGGCTGATTTAAAGCACAAGCACGGATGGGCGTCTAGCAGGTGACGTGATGATTTGGGATAACTTGGGATTTGAGAGTATGTGGGTGGGGATCCTTCCTTTCTCAGGTCTCAAGAGACCAATTAACCAGTCCCCACTGATCTGGATCCCACACTTTGCCTGCAATCCCTGAGGGCCCATGTAGCCTTTGACCATGAACTGCCATCTCTGGAGAGTGGAGGGCCTCACTCTCACTGTGCAAGCAGAGAGCAGAAGCACATGGCAGCGATGAGTTTGTATCTGTGTCTTCGCCCCTTTTCCTGCTCTTTCTGCCTCTGGGAATAGGAACCTAATAGTTCATTCAAGCAGAGACCTGGCCCCTGGCTTGGTGCTCAGGCAGCAGGTAGAAGGGCCTAGTGTCATTTCAATCTGCTGGGTTTTATCCAAACCTGATCTATCCTGTCCACTGGCCATTTTGGTTCATATGGAAATTCAAATGACATGCAAATTCCAACTAGTGCTTTTATAATTCTTTCAGCTACATAAACTGGAGCGGGATGGTTCCCAGCCAACATTGTAATTTTTAAGCCCATCTCATTTATTTGTACCTATAAATACTGTACAGTCAGAATATATATATATGTATTTGTGTATATATATAGACACATATATCACACATTATACACACATTCATATATATTCTCTCGCGAGTGTACTATAATCTGTGGGTGGGGCAAGGGTCTAGAAGGCCTCAGGAGCAGAGCACTTAAGAGGAGAGGGAAGGCAGAGAGCAGGGTACATGTGACCCCTCAGCAGAACAATAAAGTATTAACTGGAGATGCACTCTGGCTGCGTGGCTGTCTTTGCTGAGATGACAAGCCATGTGGAACTGCCACATGGGATGGGTGACAGCATGGCTTCAGTGTTAGGTCTGAGGCTGTGAGCTCTATTGGTATAGAACTGGAGAAAGCTGAGGAGGAATGGGGAGGGGCCTCAGCGCTTCTCTTTAGGAGGTGATTTGGGGATGGGGCAGATTCTGAGGATCCAGGCCTTGGGCATAAACCACAAAGTACCTCCTTGACCTGGCTGGTGTCCCTGATGTGAGTGGCCCACACGCATAGCCTCAAGCATCCTGACTGCAGCTCCATGGGAAGATGACCCTGGCTGTGCTGTCCTTTCCATTCTACACACATGAAAAGTGGCAACCCAGCCCCAGAGGCTTGAGGACCCTGTTCCAGCTGTCAAATCATCTAAGAGAGGTCTGAGTGCCTCGTGGCAGCCCTTGATCTGGCTCTAGTGACCAACGCAGCTCAGGGGGTTAGAGGGGCCCTGCATTTTGACTTCCCCCAAGAAAAAAAGCTTGCCTTTGCCATGTTGCTGTAGGATTCAAATGTCCCAACTTGGAGGGGCAAGAGAGAGTACAGGCTTTGTGATCAAATGTATGCTGAGCAGTCGGAGGCAAGCAAGGGTCTCTCCTGAGCCTCCGCCTCTTCAGAAAGAAATGGGGAAGTGATACCCGATGCTAGTCTGGCTCAGTAGGTGTTCAGGTTACCTGCCTCAGTCTGTACCCCTCCAGCCTGAGCAGATTGGGGTGCCTTCTCTGTCTCACTTCTCTGTCACTGCCTTCCACTCTTCTGGGTTCTGCTTTGCCTTTCCTCACTGCTGTTCCTAAGAGCTAGGTGGAGCTACAGACCTATGAGCCTCTTGGTTTTGGGAAAACAGTGGTGGTACCCCACAGCTGCATGTAGTAGGGTGGGTATTAAGGGATAGCTGTGTGACACTTCAGTCACAAGTTCTGGAGGAAGGCAGTGAGGGGTTTTCTGGCACTGGAATGACTACTTTTCCAAGGTGAAGAATGTCGTGAAGGTGAGCAGGATGAAAACCCAGGAGGTGATAGAATCTAGGAGACAGTTAAGAGGGATAATTTGGGGAGGGCTTGAGAATTCCTGTATCCTTTCTGTTGTGGACTCTGTTGCCCTGGACCCCTACGTCCAGCATTCTGGAGAGGTAGTGCCAAGCAAGAGAGCTTCTTTGGACCTCAGTGTCAATCCCTGCATAAAGCAGAGGCTGCCATCCCCACCTCTCTGCCCAGCTCACCATGCAGTCTACAAATGGATCACCACAGCCTGTGCACGCGGGAGTGGGTACCATGATGATGTGCCCGGCCCAGGCCGTTACTCCCACACGACGAGCACTATCCACAGCCACTTCTAGCACTCAGTCTTTTATCTCATGCCAGCCTGAGTTCGCCTCTTTCTTTCCCCAGCTCAGTCATCCTCTCCTAACTGATTTCCTCCCTTTGCTCCTCAAACACTTTTTGAGTGGACTTTGGTAACATAAAACTAACCTCAAATGTACCAACATGTCTCTACATCTCGGTGGTGACATCAGGGACGGGACTAGGTGAGAGTCGTCCCTGTTGCCCAGTGTCCACAAAGTGTCTGGATCAGCACAGGGAGTGTGTGCTTAGTGCCATTAAGCATGCGTGTGGTGGGGAGGGGGGCAGGGAGCAGGGAGCGTGAGACTGCATGACTGGGTGCTGGGAGTGGCATGGACATCTGGAAGGGTGAGAGAGGATGACAGCAAACCTTTTTTTTACTGTCCAGGAGAGAATTACGGACACTGTGGAAGAAAATCAGCAGTTTAAACATAATTGTGGAAGAAAATAAGCAAAATTTTGGCACAAAGCAAAATAGACCTGTAGAGGCTGAGTCAGCGTATCAAAGAGATTTGCTGTAAAAAAAAAAAAAAAAAAAAAAAGACCCTAGTTTATTTTTTTTTTTGTGGTCAAGAACATGTGGATATATATAATATATATATACACACACACACACACACACACACACACACACACACAACAATGGAATACTATTCAGCAATCAAAAAAGATAAACTCATGCCATTCACAGCAACGTGGAAACGCGGATATAGATAGAAGTTATTATGCTCTGTGAAATAAGGAAAAAGAGGGCCTCCCCGGTGGTGCAGCGGTTGAGCGCTGGGTTGTGAAGCTGCCCGTAGCCTCTGCAGCACCAGTTCGATCCCCGGCTCCTCCCTGGCCACCGGAGGAGGGTCCCACATGGCGTGCAGACCTCTCCTGCCGCCCGCTGCTCCCCTCAGCAGTGTACTTCGGTCCTTCTGCCTGTTCTGCTCCCCGCTCTGGCTCTGGTGAATTCTCTCACCCTCCCGTGCTTCTGACTGTACCCAGTGCTTGTATAAATAAATAATAAATAAATAAAATAAATCTTAAAAAAAAAAAAAAAAAAGAAAAAAAAAAGAAATAAGGAAAAGAAAAATACCGATGGATTCACTAATAGGAGGAACAATAACAATATAAAAGGAAGGGAAAAATAACAATATAAAACACAACAAAAACAGACAATGATAAACCAGACACATTCTGCAGAGGAGGAGGAGGGAGAGGGATCAGAAGGAGGGAGGACCACAGCAGACTGTGGTGATGTGCAAGGGTGAATTGGAGGAAATTCTATGGGGACTACACCTGAGGGGGAAAAAAAAACAAACATTGTTTAAAAAGGAGCAATGATGTAATATATATATATATATGTAAATAAATTTTAAAAATAAAATTAAAAAAAAAATAATAAAAAGCACCCTGCAGACACCTTTCCCTGTGGCCACCACAGCCAAAGTTTTCAATCAGAAAGCCTGGAGCACCCCTGAAGCCACACAAAGCATCCAACTAAACAGGCATTTTCCATATGATAGATCTTTCTCTCCTAAAGCCCTCACCTTCCTCACAAGCAGATTGCACTTGTCACAGAAATAATGATTCCCTGAGCTTAACGTATGCATATCATACTCTGTCAGGATGATAGAAATTTATCAACGCCCTCCAAAATGAATGCTTGCCTGCTTAATGTGAGGGTTTTTTTTTTGTTTGTTTGTTTTTGTGCTTATTGCTTTGTTTGTTTTACTGAGAATAACCCTGCCTCTATAAGCTGGATCCTACCTCATGGGGGTTCAGGAAGGGAGACCGCAGCTGCCAGGACCCTTTTCCTATCAGATTGTTCTTTTCCAGATTAATCTTCAAATTTTTGACTCCGAAAAGATGTTTTTCCTATCCTCCACAAGGTGGTTTTTATTTTTAAGTTAAACTGCTGACTGCCTGTGATACACCAGGCACCATGCCATCCATTTTCTCACACAAGATGTCCTCTCAACCTCAAAGTCCCCTGTGAAGTGTTGGCATCCACCCTTTAAGGATGGAGATCTGAAAGGCAAGGAGACTTGCCCTGGGGTACAAAGAAAATAGGCAGCTGGACTAGGTCTGCAGTCCAGACTCCCAAGTCTTTTTTTTTTTTTTCCTACTACAGCCCAGTATAAAGGGAGAGAAAGCTCCTTCTGCCCACTGGAGGCCTTAGGTTGGAGTAACAGTGGGGAGGGAACTGAAAGTGGCAGGTGTGACAGCTATTGCATAAAGGAAGAAATGCATTTGGAGAA